GATGATGTCGCTCTTTCGGTATCAGTGCGAGGAGGGAGACAATTGATGTTGTGCAGAGAAATTTTCCCACAGTTCCTTCTTCCCCAAATATTACAAGTTGTTTCTTCCAAAAGAGCCTGAAGCAAACTACTTGTTGTCCCGACAAAAAAACCTCTTTTATTCATTGGCTGTGAATTCTGCTCCTTCACATCCAGCAAAGTCTTTCAAGGGAGGATTTACAGTCACAGACCTTATCTGGCTTGGAGAGCTGCCAGGCCGATAGCTGCACAACTCGGCAAGGAGTCTCGGAGAGTCACAAACCAAAGAAGTGAACTAATTGTCTCTCCTGCAAATTCCACTCCCCTTTCGCTCCTCTTTTATTTCCTCTGGGAGGGGCCATTCACCATCCACCTGTGGCCTTACTCCCAAGTCAACGCGTTCTTTAGCTCTTCCCTTCATCTGGTGACTCTGCACATGCACCCACTGGGAACAGTCTCCAGCTGTTCTTCTGCCCCACTGATGTCTGACTCTGAAAGCAGCTGATGACTGTCAGAGGGCCCTGGCCCCCTCTCTGCCTCCCACGCAGAGCCCTCATCAGTGCCTTCCCCAGACTCCAGGACTGGCCTAGGTTCCTCCCCAAACTCCTCACTCTCCGAATCTGCTGTCAGCTCTGCTGTCAGGCCACAACAGAAGGGGCCACTTTGACTTGCAACGTTGTGCGAAGATGTAAGGACCAACAAGAACTAGGACCTTGAATGGAACAGCACAGAGGGACCTGAAGTCCACCCAAGCTTCATGGGTGACCATCTCCTCTTTGCAATCCCCCCACAGGGACTCGCAAAGGACAAAACGCATTAGAGGTAGTGCTCGACTTAGAACCATTCATTTTAGCGACCGTTCAAAGTTACAAGGGGAAAAGGGACCATTTTTCACACGATTGTTGCAATATGCCTGTGGTCGTGTGATCAAAATTCGGACTCTTGTTCACTGGTTCCTATTTATGACGGTTGCAGTGTCCCCGGGGTTGTGCGATCCCCTTTTGCGACCTTCCGAGAGGCAAGGCCAACGGGGAAAACGAGATTCGCTTAACAACCATGTTGCTCGCTTAACAATTGCAGCCACTTAACAACTGTGGCAAGCAAGGGTGTAAAAAGGGGGCAAAACTCGCCTCACAACTGTCTTGCTTAGGAAGGGAAATACCTCAGTTGTGGTCCTATGGACTACCTATATATTTAATTTTGCAATTTGGGAGACAGGAGTTTTGGGATCCTTCCATACTCTTTAGAAAAGGAGGAATGGGGCACCATTTTGCAGCCCAGCCGAGACTTCAAAAGGGGAGGTAGAGGGCACCTATTTCTTTTCAAAGTGCACCCCGATTTAACTTGAACATTCTAGGATGTGTACAATTGCCTTAAGCTACACGACATCTATGCAATATATGTGGGCCTTTGAAAATTCCTTGGTTCGTGGTGCAAATGACATTATAAGGAGCCTGGTTTGATTTTGGTTGACGAGGCGGAGAGTCGCTGTGATCTTTTTTAGAGTTTGGGGTGTCTGAACTGAATTGTGGCTTACTCTATATAGCCAGGTTTAAGCCATGGCTTAAGAAAGGCGTAGCAATCGAGAGCTTTTTAAGCTTCCAAGATAGCTTAAAATGGGTGGATTTCAACTCCCAGAATTCCCCAGCCAGCGTGGTTGGCTGAGGAATTCTGGGAGTCGAAGTCCATAGGTCTTAAAAGTTGCCTAAAACTTCGGACGTTTTACCAGTGGTAAAGACGACCAGTAAAATAAGAATCTGAAATTGAAATATGAAAGTTAAAATATGAAATCCATACATCAAGGTGCTCAGGTGGAGGGAAGGAGGTAGATGGGGAGAGAGAGGGGTGTGTAAGAAACACGGGTGTGTAACTCAACATTACCTCTATTTTCACTTGACTGTCCCTGGAGAAGCCAGGAGCTGCTACAATGCGAAGACCTCCAGCCCCAATTCCTCCCTTTTCTGCATTCCATCAGATCCGAGGAAAAGGAAGGACACGGTCCAGTTCCCAGAGAAAGCCCAGAGAAGTGGCATTAAAGATGATGATACACTGTGTTTTAATACATCCACTCAGGGGCAAAGTTGTGTATTTATTTATCATCAAAAATTAGGGATATTTTTTTTGGGGGGCACTGCAAGGAAATATGGGTTTTCCTTCTTTGGAAAAGAGCTCTGGGGCTGGGTTGAGTATGGGGTTGTCTTTCCTCTCTTCCACTCGTCTTCGGGCATTTATAAAAACGTGGGGCTTAAACTGCAATGCCACAACGGGCATCTTGCCTTTTCTGCCCCCCACCCCCCCAAACTGGCAGAGGATCATTGCCTCTACGAGATACGTTATATTCAGGGGAGCATCTAAAGCAAGGGCGTCCAAGCTTGGCAACTTTAAGACTTGTGGACTTCAACTCCCAGAATTCCCTAGCCAAAACTTTGCACCAGTTTTACCAGTGCTAAACGATACCAGTAAGACATGAATCAATGCGTAAATGGGGATTAGTGGAATGAGGGACTCGTTCTTGGTTCTACCACAAAACCGCGGACGACAAAATCGCGGACGACGAAAGCGCGTATGTGACGTCATCACAGCGCGACGAAAAAGATCGAAAAATGTAAAAATAAAGCTAAAACCTTCCCCTAACCCCCCCCCAAACCTAACCCTAAACCTAACCCTTAACGTAACGAAAAACCTAACGCTAACCCTTAACCTAACGCTAAACGTAACGCTAACGCTCTAACCCTAACCCTAACCCTTAACCTAACCCTAACCCTTAACCTAACCCTTACCTTTATGTGAATCGGCTTGCTGTAATTTAATTTTTATTTCAATTTTTTGATCTTTTTCGTCGCGTTGTGATGATGTCACATACGCGATTTCGTCGACCGCGCTTTTGTGGAACGCGCTTTTGACGGGTCACGCTCGTTCTTTTCTTTGTAAAGTTAAATTTAAGGAGCAGTTCATATTAAATTTGCTCTGCCTGGTAAACAGAATATCACGGTTTTAGGCAGCGCCTGAGCTACCAGGTGCTCAACAGAAATCCAGATTCTTGCATAGGGAGAATTTCTCTGTGGATTCCTCAGTGCTCTCTGAGCTGCGTTATTTTCTTGCATGCGTTTGATGACCCAGCTAGATAACCTCATCGGTGCCAGAAAGGAATGTGGGGTATTGGTAGCTCAAGGTTGAATGTGGGGTCCGGGGTGCTCTGAACTGAGTTATTTTCTTGCAGGCATTTCATTACCAAACTAGGTAATATCATCAGTGGATTAGATGGCGCAGTAGGACATGAGGTAGCCCCATAGAATTGGATCCTGCTACCAGATTCTTCCATTTGTAACTCATCTCCCCCCCCCCCAAAATGCCAAACTCTGAAGAAATGCAGGTGTCTTAACTCAGGATCAAAAATGTCACCACATACAGGCAGTCCTCAACTTATGACCGCTCGTAGTTTCAACGGGCTTCCCCAAAGTTACTGACAACCCAGATTTGAAATCCCGATGGCCCCTCCCAAAATCACATGATCGCATTTTTGGGTGCTTGGCAACTGGCTGGCATTTACAGTGCCCCGCAGTCACACACCCACAACTTGCAAAACTTTGGGGTGAAAACACCCATTGCGAACAATGGACTTGTTTAACGACTGCCTTGTTTGCATTCCCTTAACAACCGTCCTAAAAGAGGCTGGAAAATCAGGCGAAGTCATGCTGGTGACCGGCATGACCTGTGACCGTAATTCGAGACTCAAAACAGTTGTAAGTTGAGGACTACCTGTACATTAAAGCAAACACCTCTAGCCACACGCCCATATGAAGACTAACAAGAAGAGTCCGAGACACAATTGTGTATTTTTTTAGCAGCATGACATTTTCTTCTTGGGTTTTTCGCTGTCGGTATAACTTTATTTACTTCAAGTTAGGAAGGTTGGCTCTCAAGTGTAGCATACACTGCTTGTGCATTTCTTTCCCTGCCACGAGTGCCAAATCAACTCCATTCTTTGCAACAACCCCCCCCTCCAAAAACAAAACGGTAGCCCGAAACTTCCTTTGCTTTACCTGCTAATATTCTGTTTGCTTTCAAAAACTGCAAGAACCCAAAGCGGCAAAATTCACGGAGGGAAAAAAAATACCCTGAGATTTCTGTAGTTCTCTTGAGCCCCTAAAGCAGCTGGTTCTCAACCTCTGCAGCTTTAAGATGATTGGACTTCGACTCCCAGAATTCCCCAGCCAGCTGGCTGGGGAATTCTGGGAGTTGAAGTCCAATCATCTTAAACCTACAGAGGCTGAAATACTATGCAAGGCAATTTAAGACTCTGCTTCTTGTTATTCCTGGGCTGTGTGAAGATGAAGAAATGTTTCTCCAAAATCACCTCTCTAGTCTCCAACAAACACCAAATATTGGCCATTTGCTGCTCCACCCTGCCCAAACCAAGGAATCCAAAATCTTTGGGGTGGTTTGCTCCTTCGATGTCCAAGAGAAAAACAAAACAACATATTTTAGCACCCTCAGGCATCAGCTAATACTGTTCCACCCCCCCCCCACCTTCTGCTTCAAAGCAGAACAAAATTAGAGATGGATTCAAAACAGAACGCCGATCTCTTAAAACGATGGAGGCCGTCAGATTGAAATGATGCCTCCAACAGAGGTTTACCCTAGAGGGGATGATGATTAGATCTGCTTCAAGATTTAACTGGGGGGGACGGGACATGACGACTCTACATTCTGAAACTTTCTGGTCTGATCAATTTCTCTCTTTGGTTGAGGCATGCGGCTGGTAGGCCGTTTAACCGAGTCTTTTTGAAGGAAGAGCCCTGAAGCTGCATGTCTCAACTTCAGGATTATTTTTTTTTAAAGGGTGGGATTCAACTCCCAGGATTCCTCAGCCAGCCCTGCGGAAGCCCACCCTTCTTAAAAGTTCCTGACGTTAAGAAACGCTCTTCGAAACTGTTTCTGATACCCAGGATGGGTTTGTTTGATCTGGGTGGGGGAAAAAAAGTATCTGGATATAAGCAAGCACCAAAGATGATGGCAGCCCCCCCGTTGGCATCCTTTACTTCAGCCTCTTCTGACCTTCACCTGTCCCGCTACTATGAAGAGTTAAGATGGTCCAGAAGTCATGCAAACCATCAACAGCCTTGGCCACCTTACAACATCCGTAACACTGAGGTTGGTAAGTGAGGTAGACCCTGAGAGAAGGGACAAGAAAGGTCCTTCAAGATTCCAACGCAAACATCAGGCCTTCTCAATCCTGTCAAGTCACTTTTATCTGTCTGTCCGTCCGTCTGTCCACTCACCCACCTTGCCACTAGTTTCCTCTTGCCTAATGCAGCCTCTCGACCCCAACTATGCAGCCTGCATAGAAGAATTCACAGGACACACCAAAAAGAATCAACTCTGAGTAAGGGTGTGTGTTTGTGAGCTATTCATCTATCTATCTTTCAGCATCCATTTCTGCCCTTGACATAATTAAAAATAAATAAATCATCGCTTGATAGCCCAAGTTTAAGGGGCCAAAGCAACTAATACTAAGAATTCAAGTTGCAACCCACCTCTTGCAGGGATGAATAAATTTCTGGTTTTCGAGGCCTGCCTGCCCTGAAGAGTCAAGGAAGGCGAGGACATGTGAAGAAACTTCGAAGCCACAGTGTAAGCATTTAACTCACCTCTGGTCGATTTGGCGGGTTATTAGGCACAATTTTTAATGGGAGTAAACTAATGGGAAATTTTTATGGGAAGTAAACCTGGGCAGGCCCACAGTGCAAAACAAGTTGTCACATTTTCTTTGGCTTCTGGGAGATTTAGAAAAGCATCTGTCCCTTAACCTTTACGGAGGCCGCAAAGGACAGTGAACTATCGCCCAATCACCTCCTGTTCTTAAGCCTTTCCAGGAAAACTGGGGGCATCCCAGCCAGAAAGACTTAAATTGAGGGTCTCCAAACTTGGCTGCTTTACGAGTGGTGGACTTCAACTCCCAGAATTCCTCAGCCAGCATAGTGGCTTGAGGAATTCTGGGAGTTGAAGTGCACCAGTCTTAAAAGTGGTCAGGTTTGGAGACCTCTGGTGTAAACGAACACAAGGGTTTTTCTGGCCAGTGATGGGGTCAAAAATCAACATGCTGTTTCTCTTTTCTGGAGAGGAAAAATAAATGGCTTGATCATATTTCACAATCTGGGGAACCTTTCACAGCCTGGTCTGCCTATAGTGCAGGGTTCACTCCGCTGACGAGAAAAGCCAGCAGCCAAATAAAAATACATTACCACCGGCTTTGAAAACAGCCCGCAAAATCCGAGCCGATGTTAAGAGCCGGTGGGAGCAAGAACTGAAATCCAGGGGGGAAACCAAAAGAAACTCAAACCTCACTGCATCCAGCTTGGATCAACCATGCAAAGAAGCCAATAGCCTACTGCTCAAAATGAAGACTTGTCTCCCACCCACCCCCACCCCCTAAGTTACAAGGCTGAGCTGAACAAAAGAACATTGTTAGGACTTGGTGGGTTTGCCTTCGTCCATTCCTACGTCTTCGAAAAGGAAGGCTGCAAAATGGAAGAACTTAAAAAAGCTCAACCAACGTGCAAGCTGAAAGCAGGCCATGCAACAAAACATTCCTCTATCTTGCACATGGCCACTGTGGGGCCGGTCACAAAATCAGATCCGGCAGCCCCCTATTGTCTCACAGGAACACAAAGAAGATGGGGCAGGGCTGAGTAAAAGACTGGAGGAACTTTGCAGCAACGGGTCAGCCCTGGAGGTTGTCTCGGGGGGGCCCTGGCAAAGTTCCAGCAAACTGAATCTAGCCCAATTTTATTTTATTTTTTTGCAGTCTCCCAAAAGGGGAGTAAATTAATGTAAAACGAGAAGTGGACTAAATTCAACTCCTTGGCTTTGCCTGGAAGGGCAGCGGGAATAATTTGAGGGGGGCTTTCAAAGACAGATTAGGGACAGACCCGTAGAGGGAATAAGGCAGCGCTGATCAACCTTGGGTCACTTTAAAATTGAGTGGACTTCAACTCCCAGAATTCTGGGGAGTTGAAGTCCACCCATCTTAAAGTGGGCAAAGTTGAGAAATACTGCAGTAGTAGAGGAGGGGGTCTCCAACCTTGGCCACTTTATGACTTGTGGACTTCAATTCCCAGAATTCCTCAGCCAGCGCATGCGCTGGCTGAGGAATTCTGGGAGTTGAAGTCCACAAGTCATAAAGTGGTCAAGGTTGGAGACCTCTGCAATAGAGCCTGTCATCTACTTAAGTAGATCCCAGAGAGCGAGGCCACTTGTGCGTTTGGGCAAAAGACGCCTTCTCCATGTCAGGGGCTGGACAGAAGGAAGACAAAGACCACGCAAGCTGGCCAAGTGCAAAATAAAGCTTTTAAAATCCAGACCCCCAGGAAGACCGCGAATCCAAGTCCTCTCCCTGCCAGCCGCAACGGGTCTAGGAAGAGGCCGGTAGAGAGAAGAGTCCTCCTTGGCTAATGGAGCTCAATGAAGGCTTCCAACTCTTCAGGGATGGAACCCTTATAAGGAATCTTGTGTTTATCCAGCGCTCGGGCGGCAAGGCACTGTAAGGTGATGTAATTAAAAGGCTGCATCATGGCCTTGGTGAGCTGCTTCTCGTCCAGGAGCTCGTAGGCCGTCTGTTTGAAAGCGTTGGTCGCATCCATGTGAGCTCCGGCCTCCATGAGGGCGCTCATGATGACGGGGCAATTGTTCCGGGCGGCCACGTGCAGCGGGGTGTTGTTGTCGTAATCCCGACTGTCCGGGTCGGCCCCGCACTCCAGCAGGAGGTTCACCACGTGGAGAGAAGGGAACTTCCCCACCGGGTAGCGGCCCACCGTGGTCGTGTCCTTGTCCACCGCCATGTGCAACGGGGTGAAGCCATTCTTGCCTCGCGGGTGACACTTCAGCAAGCGGTAGATGGTTTGGCGCTTCTGGTGCTCCTGCTCGGGAGAGCACTCGACTTTCTCCAGCAAAAAGACCAAGTGGAGGATGATGGACAGGGCTTTGGTGAACTGGGAAGCGTCCGCCACCGGGTCCTTCCGGTGCTGGAGGGCCCTCTCAACCTCACGGACCCCTTTGCTCAGAACCACCATGAGGTCAGAGAAACCCAGCTGAGTCCCTAAGGTGCCCTTCGAGTGGTCCTGCAGCACATACGAGAAGAGCTCGGCAAAGGAGAGGAAGCTGCTGGCGGTCATGGGGCTCAAGGGCTCCAGGTTGCCCTGCTGCATCTCCAGGGCATACTTCCACAGGTTAATGCACCGCTCAAAGTTGCCCGAATCGGCATAGACGGCCCCCCGGTAGCGGATATAATACGAGGTATCCGGGTGAGACGGTCCCAGGATACGTTCTCGGATCAACAAGGCCTGCATCCTCATCTCATCGGGATCCGTGATGAGCGATTCCAGCTCCTCCATGCTGCTCGCTTCTTGGGCGTAGTCGTAAGCCAGCACCCGCTGCCGAGGCTCCGGTTTGGAAAGACCCTCGCCCCCTTGGAGACGCAGCTCCATCGCCCGGCGCCAATGCTGCAGGGCACCTAGCAGGTCGCGCTTCTTGTCCACCATGGTGGCGCCCAGTAGCTCCAGCGCCTCCACCGCGGCCTCTCGGGTGCAGTAGACGTGGGATCCGCCGCTCTCATCCTCCGTCTCCTCCTCTTCCTCTCCTTGCTGATCCTCTGTCTCCTCCTCCTCCTCCTCGGCGTCTCGGCTTTGGGGTTCCTCCAGCGCCCCCCGGATGAGGAACTCCACGATGTTGGCGTGGCCGGTGACGCTGGCAGCCAGCAGCGGGGTCATGGCATAGCCGTCCCGCTCCATCTGTGCCCCGCGAGCCAACAGCAGGCGAAGGATCTCCAGGCTGCCAGACTCAGCGCAGTCGTGCAGGGCCGTGTTGCCCTTCAGGCTGCGGCGGTTGACCTGGGCGCCCCTCTCCAGCAGGTAGCGGGCGATGTCGGCGTGGCCCTTGTAGCAGGCGATCATCAGGCAGGTGTGGCCGTGCCGGTTGGCCACCTCTAGGTCGGCGCCGCACTCGCCCACCAAGTAGCGCACCACGGCCAGGTGCCCGTCGAAGCAGGCCGCCCGCAGCGGCGTCGAGTTGGTCAGCGTGGTCTGGTTGACGCAGGCGCCGCGCTCCAGCAGGCTCCGCACCACCGGCAGGTGCCCGGCGGCGGCGGCGGCCCACAGCGGCGGGGCCCCTTCGATGGTCTCCCCGTCGAAGCGCACCGACCCGCCCGCGCCCACCCGCGCGCCGCAGTGGTCCACCAGGTACTCCACCACCTCGCGGTGACCGTGGCGGGAAGCGATCAGCAACGGCGGGCCTTCCGCGCCGCCCGGGCCCGCCGCCAGACGCTGACGCTCCTCCCGGCCGCGGCCGCCCAGCAGCTTCTGCAGCAGCTTCAGCTTCCCCTCCCGGGCCGCGTTGTAGACGGCCAGGCGCAGGTCCATGGCGGCGCCGCCGCCGCGACTACCAAGGCCACCGCGGGGCGGCCCGCGCTGACAGGCCGCTCGTCGCCTCAGATACCGGCGCCGCCATCTTGAGCCCTCTTGAGGCGAAAACAAAATGGCGGACCTTCCCGCCGGGCCAAGGCACGCCGGGATTGGTAGTCTGGACGCGGGCGCGCGCCGGCCCGCGTTCGAAGACGGCAGGCCCGCTCGTCACTACGTTTCCCAAGAAGCGCAAGAGAAAGGAGCCGGGGAGCGCGCGAGGGAAGGTGAACTGGAGAGGGTTGTCGCGAGGGCTTTCGGGAAGGGTAGTTCAAAGAAGCGATAACTTTGCCTAGACGCGCCTGGGTTTCACCCTAGGAAGGAAACTCCCTTTCCCAGAAAGGGAAAAGAGGCGTGTGGGAACGAGCGGCGGGGAGAGAGCGCGTCGGAGTAGGTGAGGTGGCTTCTGGGAAATGGAGTTTGTTTACTTTAGAGTTCTGGTGGATGTAGAATAGAATAGGAAAAAAAAACGTACAGGTAGTCCTCATGAACACAATGGAGCCCAAAATTTATGTTATTAAGTGAGAAATTTGTTAAGTGAGTCTTGCCCTATTTTACAACTTTTCTCGCCGCAGGTGTTAAGTGAATCACTGCAGTTGTTAAGTTAGTAAGACAGTTGTTAAGTGAATCCCCATGGACTTCGCTGGTCAGAAGGTCGCAAAAGAGGATCAAGTGACCCTGGGACCCTGATTCACAACCGTCATAAACGTGAATCAGTTGTCAGGCATCCGATTGTAAATCACGCGACCATGGGGTGGCTGCAACCGTCATAAGTGTGAAAACGGTCATAAGTAACTTTTTCCCCTTTTCGTGTAACTTTGAATGGTCGCTAAGTGAACCGTTGTAAGTAAAAGATTACCTGTACTTACTTTCTAATTTAAAATAAAACATTTCTAATTTAAAAT